GTGACAAGCTTGGTAGTGTGAGATGGGAGGCAAGACCAAGCCACTTTTTGCTCCACCGTTCTGACAGAGAAGGGAGAAAGGAGTAAAGGAGCAGAGGCAGAGGAAAGCAAAGAGCAGAGAAGGGAGGAGCCCCCTAGAGGAAATACCAGCAAAGAATCAGAGAATGGATGGGATGGGATAAGGGAGTTGGGGAAACAGTTAAATAAGGCAGGAAAAGAGACAAGAAGAAGAGAACCACCAAAAAAGAGAGGGGAGGAGAAAGAAGTTGGCAGGAAAGAACCTATAAAAGAGAGAGAAGCCTCAAAAGGGGAAATAGTGGGAGCGGGAGAAGCAGAGAGCCAGAGCCGTCCAAAGGTCCTTCCTCCATGTTGGGAATGGATTTGGCTAGAAAATTCTTAGACCCAAAAATGGAAAAGGCTGATGATTCCTAGAGAGGATTCTGAAATGAAACAAAAATGGAATTTGGAGAATCAGTTGGATACCACAACCCCAGGCTATAAGCTCTCTGGGAAGGACAGGGAGGGGTGTGTTGGAGGTGGGGTGGCCATCTATGTCAAAGAAGGGGTAGAATTCAGCAGAATGGAGATGGATGGCAGGTCTGCCTCTATCACAGAATCACTGTGGGTTAAACTACCAGGCTGAGGAGCCATGTGATTTTGTGTGTGTGTGTGTGTGTGTGTGTGTGTGTGTGTGTGTGTGTGTGTGNNNGTGTGTGTGCTATCGTCCTTGAGATCAAAAACTTGAGGGGGACCTTGAAACGAGGAGAAAAATCAGGGAGGTGTTCAAGAGGGACAGAATTGTAATCATGGGGAACTTCAGTTATCCTCACATCGAATAGGTCAATGCGTGATTGGGTCAAGAAAGAGAATTCGGATTTCTTGACATGCTAAAATGACTGTGCCTTGGGGCAACTTGTCTCGGAGCTCACCAGAGGACAGGTGACTCTGGATTTAATATTGTGTGGTACTCAGTAACTGGTTAGGGACGTGAATGTCACATCATGAGCTGCTAGGGAATAGTGACCATGCTTCAGCCTCTTGCATATTGGGGGCAGAGTGTCAAGCAAATCTGACAGAAAAACCCTTGATTTCCGAAGGGCAGACTTCCCTCAGATGAAGAAACTAGCTGCTTATAAAGGGTTGGGGACTTGGTATATGATTTATTGGGGTTATAGATTAATTATATTCAGATAGTACTTCAGAAATAATAGCTAATGATGGTTTAACAGTGCGTTAAATGATAGACTACTGAACTTAGGATGAAAGGAGGGGAAATAACTTTAA